AGAAAATCGACTCGATTTTCCAGATTCTAGAAAATCAAAATCGATTTTCTATAAATAATTCCCAACATTCTTGAAATTCGACAGCGATTTTCTAAATAGTTGGAAAATCGAATTCGATTTTCTAAGAAGACGAATCGGTCATTTTTTTCTTGCTTCTTTCACATCTATCAAAGCCTTCATTGCAACAAGTTATCCTATAAGAGATCTATGCTCCCTTTAGTATTTAACATCGGAAATGTTAGTAGATTGGGAAAGTTCTCTCCGTTTTCTGCAAATCAGCATATTCTGCGAGAAATATTATTGTTGTACGACACTTAGAGATCACAAAGAGGCACTGAAAATGTTCTTGGGGTTAGGCCTGATTAAGACAAAGTCGAGTTCCACCGCAATTTCCTGAAGATCGCAAAGCAATTCGCTCTTGCTTATATTCCTCATTTTCATGTCTGAATTTAGCATCTTCCAAAAATGTAGTTGGTTCTATTAACTCAAAGAAATGGTCCTATCAATTTACATTTATTTTCTTTATTTTTTAAATACAATAACAGTCGTTCAACACGTGATCGATGTCGAACTTGGTTTTCATTATTAGAAGATCCATATTGTTATCCAATAGCTGAAATAATACACCCCACTCAACTCGGAATAGCTTTTCATAACTGTGAAAAAGTTTATCATCAGCCATTTTCACTTTGCAAGTCACTGATTATCAGCATTCTCACTCAAATTGTTCTTCCTCATGTAAATGCTCATCGATTTTCTAGAAAGTAGAAAATAATCCGACTTTTTGATTTTCGAAAAGTCCATGTATAAAATGGCTGAGGATTTTCTATAAATAATTTCAAACAATGTAGAAAATCGATGTCGATTTTCTATAATATAGAAAATCCGTGAGGATTTCATATATGGACTTTTTGAAAATCGCCGAGCATTTTCTATAAATAATTCCCGACCTTACAGTGTACATGTTCGAGCTAATATTTTTTGTAGAAAATTCGATATTCAACTTGATACAAATGAAAACGTCTGAGCACTCCGATACGCAGATAAAATACATTTCTCAGTTTAGTTAATTAATTACTTATGCCATACACAAAAAAATTCGTAAACACGTAGAAATCTTTACCGGTCTACGAAATATTTTGATGGTACCTGGCCGAATCATTGCGGAACATTTCTTCTCCCAGATCATTTTTTCTCTTTCTTATTAAACATACACTAAACAACAACTTGCTGTACTATAGATTGTTCTTTTTAATATCGTATTCGAAACAAGACATATCTACATGTGAAGATGAACATGAAAACAGATGGAAAAGAATAACAACGCACACATACAGAAAACATTTAACAATTAAGTATTAGTATTTCGTTGATTTATTAACGATTTATTAATCGAGTCCATAATAGAAAAATTATAAACCGACCCGATGATTCTTCAATCACATCAGTTGTTTCAGGTGACATAGATCACAGTATATTAGGTACGTGGCTTATGGATGCGAATATATCGATGTAGCAAAACCGATTCGTCGATTAGTGTAATCAAATACAGTATAGACCCCATTTAAGAAAGCATTACCAAATATCCAACTTCTATTGGTTTGACTTATTTCCTGTGAAGATAGAATACTAATAGTACTAAAGCATGTATTATAAACTGTTGACCGATAAATATAGATTGAACTGTCGAATGTAAATAATTTGTTACCGATGATTATGGTTACGTTAGCCAATGTCGACACAGATTCACAATTAACCTCAAACTACAACGAAAAACAAATAAAACCAGATCAGAATTACCATCTCTGACTAATTATACTGGATCGAAAAACAGTATCTATTCCTGCCACAGACACAGCTAACCCATGTCGCGCATTTTTTGAGAATACCCCCGGTTACCCGTGGTTCAACAAAATACCGCCGGTTGGACTTAACCGTTCGGTATACCCTGATGTTTAGCGACGGTTTTTTCTTCTACCGGTGGTTACCGCACGGTAGTTTTCAGACCGCGGTACAAGAAAAAACCGTCGGTAAACCGTTTTGACACAATCACCTTTCTGTTTTGCGGTTGTCAGTCTCTATAAGAAACGTAGATAAGCCAAAAAGCTTTGATTTTTTTCAGATTAAACTTTCTCTTTCAGATTATAGAGACTGTTTGTTTCTCCCGTTCGGAAACCTCATTGTGCTGCATGCCCACTGCAAAAAGAAGAAAGCTGAGAACTAGATTCGAACTTCTGTACTGTTTGCTCACACTGATAAAATACCGGTTGATACCACGGGTACAACTGACCGGTATACCGCGCGGTTCGGTAGACCATGCGGTAATTTCACATGTCCATTAGGTTAACCTCCCATTATACTAGGCGGTGACCGCTGCGTTAACCGCGGTATTTTAGCGGCTCTGATAACATGGGAAAACAGATTAGATGTTCCAAAATGCTGCTGATCCACTTCAGTTTCTGCAAGAGTATAAATAAAATTATCCCACATTCGCGCCACTCCGAATCATTCTATTTTATGTTTCTACAAAGCAAAAATGAGAACTGGACTCATACCCGGTAGCCTGTAAAATCACGATAGTACTCCAGTGCAGTTATGTTTGGCTCATACAATTCAGACGTGTTGTCAGCCATTAATACATCCGAAGGTAAAGCGGTTGAAATACCCAATAAATTGTGTATCTTGATAACTTCGTCGGCTGGTCCAAGAATGTATTCTGTTCCACTATCAATGAGCGTCCGAGAACAGTCATCTGCACAGAACGTTTCATTGCCAACTTGAAAGCTAAAACGAAACAGACCGTTTTTCAAATTTTCTTCTTGAGCCAAACAGAAGACATACCCATCAATTGAAATTTCCCACACATCATCAAGGATTGCTTTCGCATAAACAAGATCTCCGCTGTACCTTTCTTTCTTCACACCACCGAATGTAATTTCCCCCACATTGGTATCCCATCTAAACTCAAATCATCGAACTGCTTTGTAGGCACAATCGATTGTTGTCTGTCTTACCGATCCAGCCACATTGAGATTAGGTTTTCATGTATTAATCCTTGATTCCACATGTTGTCAACGAGCGAACGTTGACCATTCAAAGCCTTCTTATGGAATCCTAGGCCGCACAAACCCGCCTCGGTTTCATTTATAAAAAAAAAGTTTCTAGAGCGGGTAATGATCTCATTAAAAAACTGATTTCGTATGATACTTTCGCCGATCTAAAAAATATGTAAAAATAGTCGTACACATGACGCGGAATATCGAGCAGTTTTTAGCGTCACAGCTATATAATCGTCATCGATAAACTTGTACCCCTAGGCGACCGATTCGATAGAAATCTTATAAAAAGCTTATATAAGGCAGTCGATATAAATGCGTAAGATATTGATAAGATCCTTATAAGAAGGAATATAAGAATCTTATAAGATTCTGATAATTCGGTAAGATAGATTATATAATTACTTTAGAAGAGACATATGAACTTTTATTTCCATCAACTAAAGCGTTTAGGAATCTATCAAATGCGATGAATTCGTATATAGAATTACTAGAATTTTCTCAGAATTATATTGAGACAGATCTATATTTTACTAGAAAAAACTCCTTAAAATGTTTCTCGAAGATACATTTTCGGTTCCGATCAATCAAGAAACTATTTTCTTTGGCGACTGGTTAGTGAGTGACGAGTAGAGCCATGCAGGTTACAACTTTTTCATAAGCTACAACCTGTCCTGTAAAAGCCTATAACCTTGCACCTCGTAATCTATAATATTTTTACGTAGTCTGCTGTCCTGTCCTGCGAAAAAATTACTGCAAAAAATGAGTACCCAAGTTCGAAAATTTTTCCTAATTAAGTATATTCTTTTCATTTACTTTATTGATCCAGCAAATAACAACAAAAGATAACACATCTCTGAAATTTCTGATGAATCGTCAACAACATCTGGATTCAACGACTGTCTTCGTGTTTCCAAAACTCTTCTGATGCACTAAATATCTTTTTTGACTATTAGAAACGATTTTTGGAGTTTTATTTCTTCCCTTTTACAGACCGCGCTTAATATTTTTATTGCAGGTTGAAAGCAGGGTACGGTTAGTGTAACCTGTTCTGTAAACATTTTCGCAACCTATAACCTATCCTAAACTGCGAAGTCCTAACCTAAACCTGTCCTAACCTGCCAGGACAGGACAGGTTATGCGTGAGCCCCTGCAGGGCTCTATGATGAATCATGTTACTAACTGTCATGTCTTATCAGAATCTTATTAGTTTCTTATACAAGATTCTTATCAATATCTTACATATTTTCATCGACTGCCTTATTAAGAAATTCATAAGACTCCTATAAGATTCTTGCAGAGATTCCTACATGAATCCTATATAAGATTTGATCTCTAGGGACAGAGAATGCCAAAATCTTCTGCACGGTACTTTAGCCTAAAGCAGGACAAGTACACGTACTTGTTATATATCAAATTCAAGTCTATTTTAGGTGGAATTCAATGGGAGTATTTTGTGATGAAAAAGAACTTAGGAAAGTTTTCGCGTTTTCAAAAAAGTGAAATAGCAACGTGTTTGTCTTTTTACAAGGAGAAATCGCATAAAGTAGTCTCGTACAAATCAAAATCGTATCGACTCATGGTATCAGTTGTGCTGAAAGCTTCAGGTCTCCTCTTCACTGCTTCCTCATAAACAGATCGACCGTAGGTGATCGACCACGCTGACTGGGTCTTGTAGTAATCTATATTTTCAAAACAAATCTTGAAAACACTGAATTGTTTTCACGGCAGCTGTATGAAGGAAGAAAAGGGTGCATCTCGACTGCGAATCGAACCCAGAACGATGGTATTCACGACCATTGCTTTGACCTACGAGCTATCGAGACAGTCTTTGATACACATTTTTCTTCCTTGTAGCTGCACTATTGAATAGTGACAACGAAGACTTTTATACGTATGATTCGGCAGCATCACGAGCATCATGCATAGGATTTACGTGCAACTGTCTCCGAATAAAAGTCCTCGTTGTCACTATTGAATAGTGCATCTACAAGGAAGAAAAATGTGTATCAAAGAGCGTGTCTCGATAGCTCATCGGTCAGAGCAATGGTCGTGAATACCACTGTCCTGGGTTCGATTCGCAGTCGAGATGCACACTTTTCTTCCGTCATACAGCGATTGTTCGCTAATTCAATTCAGTGTTTTCATAATCAGCTCAGCTTTTACTCTCTTTCGCAGCATCCTTGGAATTAAGTTCTAAACAAAAAGCTTACTTTTTATCACTTTTTCACTCAGAACTTATAAGTAGACTGAAGCAAAATAACTGTCATTTTCTTTCTTCAAGTCAAACATCTTCAATAAAAACTTCTACTCAAGTAAACTAGACTTCATCAAAGTGTCTATTCAAGAGTCGATACTAATTTAAATTCACCCGAAATCGATCATTTGCAATAAAGTAGTTAAAATTAATTTCTTCTCAAACTAATTCCAACCAATCTAAGGGTAGAAATCCATACGAATTAATGGAAATACATTTAGTTTATATAAATTTGAATTAATTTCGACCTCTCAAATTAAAGTGAATTTCAAGTTTTTGGTCCCAAAGTGCTTAATTACAGTAATTAGAAACTATTTGAGTTCCAATGAGCAAGTAGTATCGTGTATCTTCAACATAGACGTATTAATGTGGATAAATAGGATCCGATGAAGTGTCCTGCTAGAAGTTGGATTTTTAGACCTGGCGTTTACGACAAGTCAATACATATATCAAGATTTCCTATGGTCTTATATAGGGTCTTATTTCAAGAAACCATAAGATTTCAAAGGATCTTGTAAGATTTTGTGTGATATCTTTGTAAAAGAATTTTATAAGATTTTACAAGAGAAATTATGTTATAAGATCTTCACATATGAAGCTGTAAAATTTCATACGCATTAGAAAATTAGGTACTTTCGCCGCGCTGCACCAAATTAGACAAAAATTCGGTTCTAGGTGCAAAATTTCTCGGTGAATCCGATAGCGGGTTCCTTGGAATTCTACCTTGAGTTCTTCTCTGATGTCGACACAATCTACGTGGTTTAACCACGTTCCTTATAGCCATGCGCTTTATTTGCTCTGAGAAGACGAAGGAAAAAAATTCTAAGTTTTATCATAAGAACTATGTTATATATATGCTCAATATCACACCAAAATTTATGTGGTAAGAATGAGTCATCGATTCTTGCAAGATCATAGAAGATCTAATAACACGAAATCGTATGATCTTGCAATAAGAAATAAATACAAGTCACATCTCTCAATGGCAAGATCTTGTAAGATCATGCGCTTTCGTGTTACGTCATCTTCTAAGATGTTGCTACGTCTTATGAGCTGATCATGTAAGATCTTATGACAAGAAGTTACAAGATTCTGCAGGATCTTACAACATCCTAAGACAAGACCTTGTAAGATCATGCAGTAAGATCTTGTTACAAGATTTCATAAGAAAACGGCAGATCTTGTATGATCTTGTAAGATGAGTTTCACATGGGAAGATGCTTTTCCACGATCTTCCATGCACTCATAGTTATCGGTCAGGAAAGTATTTACATACCTGTACATTGTCACTACTCAAAACTCCATCCACCGATGCCCTGTCGCCATACATTTCATGATATTTTGTTCCATTATAAATATAGGTATTTGACTTTGATCCATCGAACGATTGCGTCTTGTCTGAAATATACAGACCGAAATTGTATGACAGGTCGACACTCGCATCAAACTCGCGGCGCAATCGCTGTGAACTCGCGAAGTCGCCACGCGATCGCGGTAAGGTCCTATCTTTTCAAAAAACGTATTTTAGAAGACTCGCGCCGCGATCGCTATTGATTCGCTATCTCGCGTCGCGATCGCTGTAAAGTCGCGTAGCCGCGGCGCGACTGCCATCTCTTCTGTATCGTCAATCATACAGGTCAATGTGGCGAGAGTATATATAGCAGCCAAACTAGTTATACCTGTGAAGGATATTTTCTGATAAAATTATTGAATTTGGTTGAGAATTCTACAAGATATAACCTTAGCCATTTTTTTTCTCCAAATTTTACAAATGGCTTGCAATCGTCTCATATATATTCTCGTCACGTGTATGATTAACGATATCAATGTTTTTTTCTCAATTTAAACGAGACAAAAAACCAGTGCCGGTTATATGTCACTTTATTTCTTATTTTCCTGCACAGTTGCAATTTTTCTCCATTCATTTTGGATATCAAAAGTGGTTCTTCTTTCTCATAAAATGCACCAAATATAGAGGCTTTCTCAGTATAAAGACTCAGTTAATGTTTGCTGTGTAAAGATCTCAAAATAAAACTGCACAGAAGTGAGAAATGCATGAAAGGTTGATGTTATAAAAACTGTGAGTATCCTCGGTGTAATACCCAGGACATTGAAAACTGCAAGTTAACTGCCAGTTAACTCCCAGTTCATTGCCAGTTAACAGGCAGTTTACTGGCCGTTTTTAGAACGTTCAGACAGTTTTTAGGTGGTTTTTTGATGGTTCGGATGGTATGGTTCTGCCACCGTAAATAGGTCGTTTTCCAACTGCCTAAAAACTGCCAGTAAACCACGTTCTCATACATCGTATTTTCATGAGAAGTTTGACCGTTAAAAGATGGTTTACTGGCTGTAAATAGGCAGTTTTCAGACAGTTTCAACTACTAATTTACGGCGGTAAAACGGTCTACCTAAAATAGACGGTTTTTAGGACGTTTTTAGCCAGTTAACTGTCAGTAAATGGTTTAAAAACGGCCAGTAAACCATCAACGGAAAAGAAAATAAGAGTAATAACGTCAGATGTAACGATTGAACCTATGGGTAAACACATTAGTAGTCTGTCACTCTAACCACACTCTAAAGAAAAAAGGTATCCTACAAAACTAAAGACAGGGTATCTGCATTTGTCACTAATAAGAACCAATTTCCATATCTCAGAACATCTTTTGGTTTTCTAGGTTATGTTTACGGGTATTTCCGAACAAGGACATTCCGAAA